TGGCATGCATAAAAGCTCTTGTATCTACCAATGAAGATTTAGTTGTACTAGAGTTATTTATTTTTACTTGACTAATGAAAATTTGAACTAAACTACAAAAAAAATCAAGATTATAAGAAATCCAATCTATTTAAAGATTATACTTTATAACCAAGATAATCCTAAAATAACTAGATTAGATTAAAATCATATTATATTAAATATTAATATACTATTATTATCTTTAATTGCTTCATCTAAAGAAATAGTCTTATGCATGATATTTCCAAAAGATAGTAAATGATTATCTATAATTTTTACATGTAAGAATTCAGTTTTTTTGACCAATAAAATCTTAATAAAATCTTCATCTATAAAATAGGTTGAGGCTTTTGAATCTAACAAAGCTAAGACTTTGTGATTTTTTGGTCCTAAATAAATTTTTATTATAAATCAAGGTGAAGGATCTAAGGAGAGAATAAGATCTTTACTAGGAGTTATTCAAGATTCCAGCTGCATAATGTCTATTATAGTTAAAAACTTATTTTTTGATACATTGTCTTCTTTGACAACCATGCTTTTCATGTTGCAGTTGCATTTTTTTTTTGAATAATGTAGAGAAGTATCTTTAGCTTTTCTATAATATAAGCATAAGCTTTCTTAATGTTCTCAAGTCTTATCCTGCTCTATCAAGGATTTAAAATATATTGTATCAATTTGCATTGGTTTTGGCCTTGATGAATAAGTTCCTAAAAAACTTGAGAGCTGTTGTTATTATTTGGCTTATTATTCTTTAGTCAAGTCTTTATTCTTCACATCTTTTAAATAATTGATTGTTATATATAATGACTTGAGCAGTAAATTATTTCAAAAAAAATTTCTTTTATATTGTTAATAATAAATCTTAGATAGAGCTTAACTTATTACAAATATCTTCAAAATTTTGATCTTGTTCCATCAAACTTCTCAGGCATACTAATCCTTATCCTTGTCATACTTATAGATACAAAACTTCCTAGATTTGGTTTTAAGGTCAATCTACTTACTTCTTTCAATTACATAATTTCTTAATGTAGACTTTAAACTTCTTCCATAGGCATAGGAATAGTACCTCTATGATTCATATTGAAAACATATGAAATTTCTACTCTAAGAGTATTGACAAGCTCATGAAGATCTATCATAGTTGTAAATCTATTCTTACTTCTACTAAGAATAGTATCCATAAACTTTCCTTCTATAAACAACTCAAATAAATTTAAAAGTTAAATTAAAAGAGTATAATTCCTAATCTCTAATATTAAATAAAAATTTCTACAAAAAGGATAATATATTCTCTTTAAAAAAAATTAAAAATAATATTGTTTATTTAAACGTAGGTAATTTGTAATTTTTACAACACAACAATAAAAGTGAGGTAATCCATTCACTTCTAAAAGAAGACAAAAAAAAAAAAAATAGTATTCTTGTCAAATTATCAAAGACATGAATCTTAAAGAAAGAAATCCTTAATACACTCTTATATCACTCAAAAGAACTACAAAGTCACTCAAAGATGATATGGTATTAAACTATAATGACTATTGCCAAAGATAAGAATACTAAAAAGTCTTAAAACAAGACTAAAGATTAGAAAAGCATTGACAAGAGTGAAGAAGGATACACTCTTGCCTCCATATATACTCTTAACTAAGACCTATGTGGTGATGTCCTATAGGACCTGTAATATATGTTGATTTTGCAAGATACATAAGTTAACTTGCAAGATGAGTTTTCTATATGTATGCCATATAATTAGCTTATTTTGTAAGTTATTAACATGTAGTTAACTTGTTGATTAAGTTTCTAATCTATCAATCAACTACAAATACATATAAAGTCAAAGCAAGGTCTATGAAGCTTCTAGAAAGTTTTTTTAGAAAATATTATGAAATAAATCTACTTTTATCTACTTCTATTTAATAATATAGATAAATATTAGACTAAATTTGTATGTCCATGACACCTTCAAAACAAAACAGTAGAATTGAGATAATCTACTTATTTCCAAAACAAGATAAGAATAATAATTTAGTATTCTTATCATATTATTAAGGACATAAATCTTGAAGAACTAAAAGCTCAAGACACTCTTGTGTCACTTGAAAAAGCTAGATAATTATTCAAAAATAATATAATATTAAATTAAAATAACTATTACTAAAGATAAAAAGACTAACAAGTCTTGAAACACGACTAAGGACTAAAAAGACATTGAGAAGAGTGAAGAAGACTTCACTCTTGTCTCTATATATATTATCTAATTAGAAGCTATGTAATGATATTCTATAGGACCTCTAATACATGTTGACTTTGCAAGACACATATCCTAACTTATAAGGCAAATTTTCTATATGTACACCACATAATAAGCTTATTCTACAAGCTACCAATATGTATGATAGGTGATTAATTTGTTCACCAACTTTCTAACCTATCACTCAATTACAAACATGTGTAAAGTCAAAACCATGTCATAAAACTTCTAAGAGGCTTTTCTAGAAGATATTATGAAATTAATCTACTTCTACCTACTTCTATGTAATCATATAGATAATTATTAGAATAAACACAAATATCTATGACTTCTATAGATTAATATGATATTTTTATTTTATTTTATTTCATAACTTTGTTTTGAAAGTTAAGTCATTTTTGTTCTAAAGTATGTGATCTCATAATTATAACAATTACCACTAAGTTTTAGAAGTGCATATCTTATATATATATTTTTAAGACTCTTAAAACAATTAAATCATGTATATCTAGTTTGAGATCATTTTAGAAGTTTTAGATTTGAATCTTTAATATTTTGCTTGAATTTATTGTTTGATAGTTTTTATCAACCACTCTTAACAATCTTTATCAATATTGCTATATGAAGTTATTAATTTAAAATTATATAAAATATTATAATTTCAGTGATATTTTAATATTTTAATTATATATTCTAAATATGTTTTTATTATAAAAAAATATCATATATATATATATATATATAAATGATAGAAGAAATTTAAACATTGCTACTACAAAGAATTATTTGATAAATTTGGTGGAATGTTATTTTAAATTTTAAAAAAATAAGTTACATTGATTATCATCAGTACCAAAATACTAAACAAGAAGACACTTCTATCCATATCAATGAAAGTTTTAGAAAGTAATATAAGATGAATAATACATTATTTGTAGTACTAATAAAATGAACAAAAAAATACCAAAAAAATACTTTAAAATTATCCATTTTTAAATGAAAATTGATTGTTTGATCAAAAGCAATAGAAATCAGAAGTTTTATATACATATATATATATATATATATATATATATATTTTATTTGATAATATAATTATAGATGTAGACTTTATATACTAAATGTATTTTTAATGATTTTTGAATTAATAAAAAATATATTTGATTGAATGTGTTTTATTATTTTTTTCTAATATCTTTCTCAATTTTAAAATACATGAAGTCAACTTGAGAAGTTTGAATGTTATTGTAAACTAGTAAAGTAATTGTTTATTTACTAACATATATTGAGAAATGTGGATATATAAGATTAACATTATTGGAGCAACAAAAAAAAATAAATATTTATGTATAATTGGTACTTTGTGTATAAAGTTTGTAGTGTGCACATTGAAGTTGTTAAAGGTTGGTAAATAAATCAATAAGAATAGTTTGAATAAACTTACTACTATGTGTAATTTTTTTGTTTGTTTATTTTTTTAGTTGTTTCATTTAATTATTTATAATTTAAGAGATTTTACTAGAATTAAAATTTTATATTATAATAATAAATATTATAAACATTTAATTTTATTTGTTTACTATAATATTAGTGGTAATTAAATATTTTATTACTTATTAGATATTAAGATAAATTGTGGTTATTATAGTTGCTACAAAAATGATAAGAAAATAATAAATAATATGAAGAAGATTTTAGATTTTAGATTTTAGATTTATATTTTAAAAAATAGAAATAATAATTACATCAATTTTAACTATTATTTTATTTCCATTGTTCTCGTGTTTTTTTTTCAAAGTAGGTTCATTAATAAATAATGTGTTACAAAAAAATTGAATTTAAAATACCATATTAAAAAATAAAAGAAATAAGAAGACACAAATTCTTTATGCATATATAAATATATATATATATATATATATATATATATAGCGACCCAAATTTTTACTAAAGTGATCTACTCTATCTTAACCATCATTGCATCCTTGCAGCCTCCATCCATGTTTCTAGGTGTTTTTCATTTCTAATTCTTGATAAGAATAGGGATGAGAAATGGAGATGGAATTGAAAGAGTAAAATGATGGTTTTAACATATGAGTCAATTTAGTAAAAATTTGGATTGCTTTATCATTTCCTTATATATATATATATATATATATATATATACAAATAATTTTAACTCTTCAATGCAAAAAATAATTTAATAAGTGATTTTTTTGTATAGATTCTTTTTATATCTTGCTAACTCTTTGATATAAAAAATATAAAAATCTTTTATAGTACCTCCTATCAAATGACACTTTTGTCCAAAAATATTCATTTTAATAGTGTATAGATTATCTAATATAAGATCACTTAATTACATCAAATCTTCTTTTCTTGTTTGACAAATGTTTACATCTTTTGTCACATATACTTCCATACAAACTCCATGTACAAACTAACCACATTATATTTAAAATCAAGTTATGATGAACATTCAAAGTTGCCTTATGTGGGGAAATATGCATCTATAACAAATGGCACAATGTTTCTTGTGAGAGGGTTTAGGGTTTATGGTGGCAAGTGGAGATGGTGGAATGGAAGTGATGGGGAAGTGAAATCTAGTGATGGACGTGTGAAAAACGGACTTTTAAAAAGAAAACAGAAGGCAAAAAGGGAGGGAATCAGTGCAGAGAGGGAGTGAAGCCCCCCCCCTTGAACCGAGCTAGTCCAAGGCAAAGCAAAGGCCTTCGGGGTTGAGAGAGAGGCTTTGGCTTCAGAAACCCTAGAATCCCCATTAGAAGGGCTTCTTTCACCATCGCCCCGAGCTTCTCCTCTCGCTGGCGATGGCGATGCTCGGTCTCCTTTCTCGCTAGAACCCCCCCCCGGCATCATCCCATTGTTGCCAGTGGTGTTCGATATCGTAGCGTGTTGTTAATAGCCACTTCTCTCTTCATTTCTCTCCTCTCTTCCAGTTGTGGAGGCAGTGAACGACGCGTCGTCACCATGTTTTGTTCCAGTAAGTGAACACACGAGTTTGCTGGACAATTTTTGCTTGATAGTGTGGCCAGTGTGCTAGGTTCGCGGAAAAATTGAGAGGTCTTGCATTTGTTCCTCTCGTGGAATCGGCGCGTTAGGGGAAAATATTTCTCAGGGCTCCGACGAGATAGTTGTCATTTGTGCTAGTAGTGTATTTTGTCGCGTTGCTAGTCTCAGAAGCAGGTTTTGGTTCTGATTGCCTGGACCGTGGGAATTAGTCTCGTTAATGGGTATTCAACTTGAAGCTAATTCTCTGCCTTGTGGTTTTAGTATCAGGTGTGACACCTGAAGACCCTGTGGTGTCACGAAAATCTGGCTTGCTGTTCGAACGGAGGTTAATCCTCAAGCATATTGCGGTAACATTCCTCTATTTCATGAAATGTGTACTTATCTCTATTTAAACTGCTCTACAAATTCGAATGCATTGCCATCAGTGATCAGCTGACTTGAGGTTCTGGTCTTTGCAGGATAATGGAACAGATCCTGTTACTGGAGAGGTGTTGTCTGCGGAGGACCTCATTTCAATCAAAACAAACAAGGTTTCAGCAAATAACATTGAATATTATTTGAACAATGTGCTTTTATAATTCCTCATTGCTATGTGCTGAATTATCTTCGGCATGTATTTTTTCATTATCTATGACTTTAAACTGTGTAATGCTGAGAAATCAGTCCTACCCAATCGATTGCAGGCTGTGAAGCCAAGACCTTTGCAGGCAGCAAGTATACCGGGCATGCTTGGACTCTTTCAAAATGTAAGTCAATTTAGGGTATTAAAGCTTGTTAGGTGTGGATTGGTGTCAAGGATGGAAGAGACACTGCTTGATATTTAATATGAAATTGACACACAAATCATCAGTTTGAACCTAAATCCGGTTTAACCCACTGCGGACTATTGACGATTTTGAAAAGTCCTGGTCTCACACGTGGATATTCCTATGATGCTCAAATTATCTCAGTCTACTCCAAAATGTCGATGACATTGGCGAACTACTAAATATTTAACATGCGTGAGAGTGTGTGGTGCAGGAGTGGGATGCAGTTGTCTTGTCCAACTATGCTCTGGAGCAGCAGCTGCATACTGCTCGCCAAGAATTGAGTCATGCTCTCTATCAGGTTCGAATATTCCTTTTCAACGTATTCACTAAGCTGAAAACGAGGCTTCCTCATTTGCTACATTTTTTTAATATTATTCTCCTTCGTGGAGAGTTCATGTAGTTGGTCAATCCCTGAAATCACACAAAACTCTGAATCTTCTGCTTGTTGCAGCTTGAAGCAATACCGACTTCTTTTCTTTTCTTTTTTAGTCATTTTCATGAATGGTTTCGATAAGTTGTAGGCTACTTTTAAACCAAGTACTGAGATTCGTTCCTATCCGTCTTTAAATGGCACAGCATGATGCTGCTTGCCGAGTAATTGCTCGATTGAAGAAAGAGAGAGATGAGGCCAGAGAGGTTCTTTTGAAATCAGAGAGGCAAGCACCTGCTGCTGGAGCGGTCCCTGTGACTGCTCCAATAACTTCCAGCAACGGAAAAAGAGGTATATAAATTCAACAATGCCTAAAATTTCCTGGTAGATTATGTGATTATTTAAGTTAATGAGCGTAAAATCGTGTATATGCGGTAGTGAGGTTGTTGTTGTTGTTGTTGTTGTTGTTGTATACCTTTCTGCAATTAACTTCTTGTTCACCGTTTAGTCAGCATGTTTTGTTTAATTTGTTCTAAAAGACTACCTGCACGGCACTTAACAATAATCTCCCGAATTTTCTCTACGCGATTTCCGTGAACTTTTGATTTTCTGTAAAAAAAAACTAACCAGATGGTTATGACAGGGTATAGAAATGGATTGTGTATTTTATGCTGCAACACACATGACTTGAAATATGTTTACGAAAATATGATGTAGATGAGAGTTTTCATATTTTCTTTCTGTCTTTCTTTATTCGTTTATCTTCATTTGATAGCATTATTTTGCAAAGACAGCGAAGGAATCCACAAATTTTGCCGACTCTCTTAAGATTTTATTTGTATGTATAGCTCCTGAAGCAGACACAGAGTCTGAAGGTCCTGGAAAGAAACCACGGCAGGGCATCACATCTGACATTATTAAAGAGCTCACAGACTGCAATGCTCGTCTCTCTGGTCAACGTAAGAAGCGTCAGGTTTGTCGCCAATATCCTCTGGTTTAGGTTCTCATTTTGTCCCTTCTCTATTCTTTAACTTGGTTCATTTACCTGATCCAAATTAGATTACAAGTCTTCCTGAAGACGTTTTGTAATTTATTTCTACTTCTTGTTAAATTACCTTGGATTTTTTTCAACCATTGAGAATACATCGATACAATAGGAGACAATGTGTTTATGTGCTTTGGCCCAAGATACTACTGTGATTCATTGTCAAAACCGTAAATATTTGGTGAATTGTTTATGCAGATTTCACCTACTTTGGCTACACCTGATGCATTAGAGAAGTACACCCAGTTGGCCAGCCATCCTTTGCATTCAAGTTCAAAACCAGGAATTATGTCTATTGATATTCACCAAACTAAAGTAATTCTTTCACTGCCTTTTCATGGCTACAGTCTTGCTGTATTTTTTGGTTTATTATGTAGGTATCTTCTAGCGTCTGTGGTTATGAAGTATTGAGTTCTGCATGGGATAGAAGATGAATATAATCCAGCATATTTACATTAATGCAGCTTGCTTGAAGTGAGCCTTATGATCTTGTTTGTTCGGCTGCAGAATCTTGTGTTGTCAGGAGGTGTTGATGGTACAGCTATAGTGTTTAACCGAAGCTCTGGGGAACTTGTTTCTACTCTGTCTGGTCATACCAAACGTGTAAGATTCAACATTGGTTTCTTGCTTTGTTTTTGCGTGTTTCATCGGTGAAATTGTCAAAGGAACTCGTGGATGAAAATTGCATCTGTGTTTATGACTTTCATGTCTGCATTAATAGTACCTGAAAATGCCACCTACCTAACCTGCTTGAGCTTATTTCTCATTAGTTAGTCTATTCGATTTTCTTTTCATTGCTGTATGGTGGAATGCCTATTAGGAGACGTTGAATTTCAATTGAATTGGAACTTTATGTATCTTTTTCTTAAACGACTTGCAGGTTACCAGCGTGAAGTTCGTTGCAAAAGACGAGTATGTTTTGACCGGCTCTATTGATAAGGTTCGGTGGAGCATTGCTATTTTCTTCCTTCTTCCAATTTCTTCAGGAGGTTTTCTTATCCAGTTGTGGAAGCGTCTGTTGTAGAGATACGGTGACAACCTTGTGCTATGCGATATGATTTCATTATTCTTATGTGTTGGGGTGTTGCAGACGGTCAAAATCTGGCAAGGACAGGAAGACGGAGATTATGCTTGCAAATGCACGCTGAAAGATCATTCTGCAGAGGTATTCTCATGCACTCCAAACTGATTTTAATGACAGTTCTCTTAAAGCAACTGTTACTTGGCGCGTAACTTGATTTGTGTAATGTGTCAGGATGGTAAGATAGTATCTGTCAATCTAGCAGTTTCAGGAGGGTTGATTCTTGAGTATTTAAGGTTCTCTATGCAAATATTGCAGGTACGGGCAGTGACTGTACATGCCACCCAAAATTACTTTGTCACAGCCTCTGCTGACAAGACGTGGAATTTTTATGATCTCTCTACTGGGATTTGTCTTACACAGGTACGTTCTTTACTTGATTCATGTGGATCTCTTTGAAGAATGTGCTTATTGATTTTGATTATCTTGAATATCTGCTGATATTTTTGATCGAACAACTTGTAGTGTTTGGAAGATGGTGACGTTGGTTGGGGTTCTGAAGTGAGTTCACATATGCTATGCCTTTGTTGGTTTGTAATTGTGCTTTTGAGTTCTATAGGTATGTCAGAAGGATGTACAACTGTTGAATGTGTTGAACATCGATGTTGCATATTTGGATCAGGTAAATGAACCAAGTTTGCAAGATGGATACACGTCAGCATCTTTTCATCCTGATGGTCTCATCCTAGGGACTGGAACCGCCGAATCACTGGTTCGCATTTGGGATGTGAAGTCTCAGGTTCGTATCTCTGCCCCTTTGCAATCGTGTTGCTGTCACCGAACATTTACATTGTGGTACGAATAGATATTTTTTTTGCGCTATTTGGATTTTATATCTGATCACTTATGTCCCGGCATTTACATTAACCTGGAATTCAGGCCAATGTTGCCAAGTTTGAAGGGCACACAGGACCCGTGACGGATATATCTTTCTCTGAAAATGGTTACTTTTTGGCTGTAAGTTTTCCCATCTTCACTACGCCGTTTTATAATGTAACAAGAGATCGTTATTTTACTATTGCTTAATGTCCACTGAGACGAACTGTCCCGACACTTGTACCTAAGGTGAAAACGCGAAAGTCTCGATCGGCCTATTTGAATCTAAACGCAGCTCCGTAACATTATTCAAGTTTAGCTTCAGATACCCTAGATCTATTAAGTTAGTGTTGGACGATGAAGGTTGACTATTGAAGCAATGGGAGCGGTTGTTTTTACCTCGGGTACAAGTTTGGGGGACAGTTTTGTCATGTTCCTCAATCACTACTTAAACTGTGCTTCAGGTTTTCACTATTCATTGCATGCGTTCTATGCATCCTTTGGCAACAGACGCTGGGTTTTTTCGAAATGAATCAGCATGTTGAAACCCTCATTTACTTGATGTGTGTATTTGTTTTGTATAATGGATTTGGAGCCTTCTATAGTTGTTCTTGGTAGTGTATGTGTTGATACCCATACGTATTTTACAGACCGCTGGACAAGATGGCGTTAAGCTGTGGGACCTGCGGAAGTTGAAGAACTTCCGTTCTTTTGCCCCTTATGACAACAATACTCCTACAAATACTGGTCAGCCATACTTTTACTTACTCACGAATACATCACATTTATTGCCAGCTTTTGTCTTAGTTCTGTCAATATTCAGTCTGTGCTAGTGACTTCTGTATGTCACATTGGTGGGTGAAATCAATCTTTGAATCGAGGATTGATCCCAAGCCTGTGACCTTTGTCATAATATAAGCAAGAGTGCACCACTAAAAGAGGATTTATTGTACTACTGGCTTGCAGTTGAATTTGATTACAGTGGAAGCTATCTTGCTGTTGGCGGTTCAGACATAAGGTGCTCCCAAATTCAGCATAAGTTTTGCATTTTTTTTTACACATTTTCCAAAATCATAGCTTGAACTGGTTTTCAAACACCCCTCGTCTGTTAGCCAGTTGACCTTTCTTGGTTTATGCAGTTTGTTCAGTTGCGTCTCCAAGTTTTATAAGTGTTTGTTCCAACTCTAATTTGTGTGGTATTTCATGCAGGGTGTACCAAGTAGCAAGTGTTAAGCAAGAGTGGAACACGATTAAAATTTTCCCTGATCTCTCTGGGACAGGTGACAATTCTTCTTGTTTACATGCATACTTTGAACAACTTAATGCCTATTTCTGTCACACTCCATTGCTTTAAGGCTGCTGTGTGATTATGGTTCAATATTTCCATTTTCTTTTCGTATCTTGAGATTTTGAGAGGTGAATTATTGTCGAATAGTATACAATGAATTTCAATCAGTTGGTTCTGAGAAAGTTGTCATTACCAAAAGTGTCTCTTAACCATGGCCCTTGTTTTTTTTCTCACCGAAATCATTAAGGCAATTACTTTTCTCTATTTCTGGAGGACAGGTAAAGTTACATCAATCCGATTTGGACCAGATGCCTCCTATTTGGCAGTTGGCAGCAGCGATCGCAACCTGCGCATTTTTGGTGCTCCTGAGGCTGCATCTGAACCTTGATATCTTGAACTGGTTTATAGAGGTAATTCGAGCTGAATTGGTGTATCACTATCGTCATGGGCCGACGATTTAGACTTTTTTTGTAATCCTTCGATGGGTCAGATTTCATCGAAACTTTGGTTCTGCAGAGATGTAACTATCTGAAGAGGCAGTAAGAAATCCTTTACTGTAACCATGCTCAACCCTGTTCAGAGAAGGCCTCCTCGATAGCGATGTTGTTTTAATGAAGCTGTACTGTATTTCAGTAGTTTATCATAATTTCATCACCCTGGAGGCTATCAGATACTTGAGGAGATTTGTAGTGGTGCAAGTTGCACCAAGTAGCTCAGATTCCCCTCAGTTGGTCTCCGGCAGTTACTTTGAACCTGTGTTAAACCTTTTTTCTTTCCTCTGTTTTGTTTTTATTTTCTTGAGTGTATATTGAAGTGTACGACATGCCGAATGTGTTACGCATATACGACAGCACGCTGTGCTTTGTTAGTAATCTTCATATCCTTATTTTTGAAGTACTTCCATCATGGAACATTGTACCCCGCTTGCACGTGTAGATGAGTGTACTTTGTGACTGACGGTTTGCAAGGTTATCATCAATTCTTGACATTTAGAGCTTAGATCCTTGTTGATGAAAAGGATTTGTAATTGTCCCCTTCACATCACTCTAGATGGGTGTAACCCCAACAACATATGCCGTACATGCCATGTGATATTGTTGTTTTCTGCTCCCTGTTTTTTTGGTTGGGACACTGGTACAAAGGCACTGAAATATTTTTGATTCTCGCTATGCCCCAGCTGTACGTGTGCAGCCGCAGAATGGTTTTAAAAGCATCATTTATATCTAGGTTGGTATCTTAATTAATCCCTAACCTTTTCAAGGAGACTGTTCCCAGTTTAGAGCCCCGTATCCTAAATGGTTCAGTTATCATCGACCAACTTGGTGAGAACCTCGAATCTTGTTCAGTATGTCCTACATGAAGGTAACTGCACAAAAATATAAGTTTTCCTTATCTGAACAACTTTATTTTGTAATGATTTTTGGGTGCAAGTCTACCCATGCTGACCATATGACACTGATAGGGGTTAGATGGAGCTTTCATTGACAAAGGATATGAGGAGATGCTGACTGGGGATCTGTACATCTTATAAAATCTCAATGTCCTAGAGTAGTAGAAACCTGCAAGTCTGTCATACTAACAAAAGCCATGTGAGCAGTGTTGGTACAAGCTACTTCACATAGTGGGACAATTGTAGTTCAACTCATGTCTAGATCTCACACAAACAGGAACATTGTATGTTTTCAGAGTGTAAGGAATAGGTTAGAAGACATTTGTTGATGTACTTTTGCTACATGCTTGCTGTACTACCATGGAAATGTCCTACCATATTGGCTATTCCTCCTTTTGGGACCACTTCTCAAAATCCTTGTGGAATGTCATACCTTGGAAATTTACTATCTCCTCTCAATAATGCATTATTTAAACTTAAGGTTTTAGATGTTGATACCTCACTTTCACACAGGTTTTGCATGTTTGAGAAACATCAAATCTTGTTGAGTAATAGAGCATGTTACAGATGTGAGAGTTAGTAGGTGTACCACACTAAAATTCTTTCATCATACAAATGTTGGTATCCAGTATGGCATGAACTTTGTTTTCATCCATGTTCTAAGACAAGTGGATTGATGTGCATAACTTCAGAGCCATTGTAACTAATTGTTGTGATTCCTTTTCCAGCTTCAAATTCAACAAAATTCTTCAAGGCTCCATCTGCTGATGTGTGTGTGTGAGTGTGTTTTTTTTTTTTTTTTTTTTTTTTTTTTTTCCAATTTATTTGAGTCAACTTGTCACAGTCTTGAATTAATTAACTTGACCCAAGAGTAAGTTGTATTAGCTACCAAACAATATGTCTCAGCAGCAGCTAAACACACCACCCAAACAACTCAGAAAAAGAAAAGTAATACTAACTTTAATGTATTGTTTACTTAGTTAGCATTGTTCTGTTATTTTGCTTCTTTTACAAATTGTGTGCATTTTACTATTCACGCATTAGTAAATTGATTCATGTTTGTATTAGTATCACATAGATATTATTTGTTGAGCACAAATTTGACTTGGATTATCATAAATATTAATCTAGTGTTGCATTACATTGGAAAATTTGGTTATTTGGTTACTTAGTTATTTATTTATAATTTTACCTAATTAGCCAAAATAGGAAGTTTATATGCGTGTCATTTTTCTTTGACAACATGAAGATATAAAATTTTAAAATGTATTTCGAAACATAAAATTATTAGATCATGGACTTATTATTCTATTTTAAAATTACTTCCAATTCTACCAAATCAATCAACTTTAAACAACATTTTTGCACATATGATTATAAATATATTTAAATAAGATTTTGAAAATTGTAAGTTTCATAGCTATATGTTACAATTTTTTGTTGATTTAATTACAAGTAAGAAAGCACTACATGCTTGAGCAATATATTATACATACATACATACATACATACATAAAAACACACATAAATATTAAAAATGAACAAAGGTGTTAAAGGAAAAATTACGAATATAAGTGAGACTAATAATGTCAAATATCTCAGCAAACTACATTTCAAATAAAATAAAATAGATTATATATATATATATATATATATATATATATATAATTCTTTTAAAGGATTATATTCTTTTAAAGGATTATATTTTAAAAGACCATGACAAAAATATTTTAGTTAACATACATACATGCATACAATATATATTTTTATTTCTGTTACACACGTTTTATTTATTTATTTATTTATTTCTATTACACATGTTCTTCTTATTTATTTATTTATTTGTTATTTCAGATATTATGACTATTCATGATTTTAAAATGTAATTTTAATATGATGTAAAATAATTCCTGCACCCTCGTCACATTTGAATCTTCAATAAATTAATAATCAGATTCGTTTAACTAAAAATTTGAAAATCAAAAGAAAAATGTGTTAAAATACTATGTAAATTTAAATCGGCCCTAACCTGATTATTCTGTTAATGATCATATTCATTAAAGTGGTTTAAAGAAAAATTTGCAAAATCGTGAAAGTTCATTCTACAGAACTACACCATATTATACTTCCAAAACACAATTCATAGTGTGCAATGCATTCGCTGTGATATAATTTTGGGAAAATATCACATATGCCCCTGAATTGTCCGAAAATATCAAGAATACCCCTCAATTCTTGATAATATCATATGAACCCCTGCTTTTTGTCAATTGCAAAAAATGCCCCTCGGAGGAGTGATAACCTATCTAACTCCGGTTTGTTTTAGTTTGAACTGGGGCACGGATCGACACTTTCCCGCACTGTCTGGGCCCCGTGCGAACCCCCGCCCCCTCCCCAGCTGCAGTCGCTGATTTGTCGGCAGTATACAAGTGAGCGCCGGGGCATCTATAAATCGAAGCATCAGGGTCCTCCTCATCATCGGCGCCTTCGTCCTTCTACATGCAGTGCTTCCTCCTTCGATTGCAGGTCTTCGTGGCACCTCCTTCTTTTTTGGATTGGCAAATTTAATCCACACAGATCCATAGCAGCAGCCTGTGGGACTTCACAGTTTTGGGCCTTACGAGCGTCTGTGGACTGGTGAGCACATGAGCATTAGCTCTGGTACGTTTCCTGGTTTTACCCTCTCGATTCTGTCCGTGCGGCTCAATGCTCATGTAGTTGGTGGTTTGTTGCTCATTGAAATGTGATATGTTGCATCCTGGGTTTCATCCCATTGAAATCACCTAGCAGTCCTACTTGCAACCCCATAGCTTCGTACAAACTCCGCAGGAGATATGAAGTAGTGGTCTTGCCATTTGTTCCTGTGATCGCTACCACAGATAGTGTCTTCGAAGGATGTCCATTAGTTGCACTTGAGTGGAACGTGACACATCCAAAAGAGGAGGTTTAACACTGAAACACAAACCTTCAAGAAGCGTAACAGAGTTTGATAGGGATGAATACTAGGAGGAGATTTTGGTACCGGCGAGTATTCAGAGAGTATGACGCTTGTATTGTCGACAATCACAGCAGTCTTGAACCCTTCAGTTACTTCCATGAGGAAAATGATTGCCACGGCGCCTTTCATATTGAATTGTAATCACGCTGTACCGTAACAAACAATAGCACATTCCCGGTCTCGTTGCCCTCGGTTCTAATGACCAGCATATTATTGTCGAGATAACATAGCAGTCAATTTTTCACATGCTCTGTCTCTGTTTCATGAACATCTGGTGCAATTCCAACCATCAGGTACGAGAAGGATTGATACAGGACATACGTGTTCAGTACTGAAACATTGCAGTAGAAAACATTTCTGATCGTTCTGTTCTTTTTGATTTTTGATTTCTGATTCAGTTTTTCTAATACATTTTGGTGTACAGTATTTTTGATACATTTCTGATACATCATTTCTGATAATTTCTGATTTAGTATATTAGATATTTTTAATGCATTTTTGATGTATTTCTGATATATTTTTGATAATTCTCATATATGTTACAATATTTATGGCTTGTATTTCTGATAAAAAAAAATTTGGCATGTAATTTTACTATAGTAATTTTGTTATACTAACTATAATTATAATACATCAAAAATATACTATTGATTCATTATTGTGTATTTATCACATATTTAGGCTTTATCAAAAATGTTATTTGTCTCTCTAAGCTCTAAAGAATATTAGTGGATGATGCTTGTGAAGTAATCAACATTGAACAAATTTGTCTTTTAAAGAATTTGGTGATTAAGAATCTTTCTTCAAAATTAGAAGTGTTATTGTGGGTGCTTTTTTCCAATAGTATTAAGCAATTGAAGGAAGCTATTTCTCATGATACAATTAGGAAGCATTGTAAAATATCTATTGTTAAATCGGACCTAATAAGGTACATTGTGAAAGATTCCAATGACACTCGCAAATGGAGATTGCATATATCACAATCTCAATCAGTAGGTATAAGTAAATTTGTCATTTGAACACATGTCTTTGAATATACATATATTGGTGCTTACCACTTGGACAACATACATACTAATGTGAGTTAGGTAAGAGACAACGTAAAGAAAAAATTGAAAGGTACATTGCAATATATAGTTGTAGCTATCCAAAAGGATGTTTGATGTAATGAAGGCATTATAGTATCATACCTAATGTTTGGCGTGAAAGAAAAAATATTGTTTCTTAGCTAATTAGCTTCTATAAAGATAGCTAAATTAATCTAAAAGCATATTATCATCAAATCAAGATAATAAATCTTAGAAATTATGCAAAATTAGAAATCAATGAAAAAAATTACTTTCTTCAATTTTTTGTCATCTAAAATGGAAGTTTATAAGACTTGTAAAATTATTGATTTGTCATTGGCATAAATAGCATCCATCTAAAATAAATATATCATAAGATATTCTTTTGTGCTATAATAATTGATGCAGAAGAACAACTTATAATGAAGCATGGATAAGATATTTGTATTAT